GGTTCAGATCGAAATTCAGCCAGGAACAGAAGGAGAAAATGCGGTATTTCTCGGCGAAGATGGGTTGGAAAATGCAAAAGTCCGACGAGGCGGCGGTGAGAGAGTTCTGCCGTGAAATCGGTGTTACGAGAGGGGTTCTCAAGGTGTGGATGCACAACAACAAGAACACATTCGCCAAGAAAGAAACCAACTCCGGCGCCGGCGCCGGCGATATTTCTGCAGTTAGAAACGGCGGACTAATCAGCTTCGAGAATAACGCCAGCTGCGAAACCGTCGGAAAAAGTGAAGAAAGATCGACAGATATTAATGGATCTTCATCTCCTTCTACATGATGTAATTGCTAATTAAGATAATTAAGGGGTGTTAATGATGATTAACTGGGTGATTAATTAATTTCGTCACTGTTACTATAAGCAGAGACCAGAAATAATAAAAGGTGGGAGCTAATTAGTGGGAGATTTGTTTTTTATTTTTATTTTTTCATTTTTCTTTTTTGTTAATTACCATCATTATTAAATTTAATTAATCCTTTTTTTCATGAACATTTTCATTTCTTTTTCTTTCTTTTTCTTTTCAATTTATTATTGCATCAGAAACTAATTTAAGTTGGGATAGTTGCAATTAATTTCAGATGCAACAGATTTGTTAAAGCAAAAGTTGGATTCTTACAATTAATTCTATGTTATCTCTGCAATCTAAAGTTATGGACACGTGGCGTAACGGGGTTTAATCTCAATTAATGTGCAGTTGGTAGATCTCTTAGAATGAAAACAAGTAAATAACCTAGTTTGCACCAAAATTATATGTAAGAAATTATAAATTAGTGAAGAAATATAATTAGAATTTAGAGCTATTGATTTGGACCTTAATAATTAAAGTTAGATTGGTTCATTTTTAGTTTTACTGATTAGGGGTATAAATGAATCTGAGTCTCTACAAAAACATGTTTTTATTAAGTCTATTTGATTTATTATCAAATTTTCAAAGTTGTGTTCGAACTTATTTCGATAAGCAAGTGAATTGAGTTTAAACGAATTTTGATCGAATCAAATATGAATCGAGTTCGAGTACCTTAATTTTTACGCGTATATTCTATATTTTTTATGCGACCCCACAGACTGAAATGAAAGACTGAGCAACTAATTGAAATTTGTGTCCCAATTCATAAATAAAAAATGTTATCTTTAATTTGTTGGTGATTATGTGAACTTTGAAGGCAAGTAGAACAACCAAATCTTATTATTTGTTGGTTGTTGTGCCGGCAAGTTTTGGA